CCCCCCCCCCCCCCCCTCTTCAGGGTGCTGACACAAGGAACCAAAAGCAAACCAAACGACCACATCAATACGTAGAGTTTGGCTGGAAGCAAACGACACTACGTTACATACCTGCGCTTCGATGGTGCAGCCAGACGTAAAATCACCTGCAGAAACGAACGATTCATAGAAGGGGCAACCCACCAGATGTGTGAGTGGGGGCGGGGGCGTACCCTGATGTTCCAAGCGTTCAACACTTGTCCCTCAGGTCAACGCCTTCAATGAGTCTTAACCAGCCAACACATTGCTCCTGCCTAGCGAAATTTCTTTTCAAAGTGCTGATGGCGGGCCCCCGTCTCGCCTACCCGTAGAGCAGTGCCGCTGCTTTGTTAGTATCAGCTCTGGGATGCTAACCTAGCAGGTTCGAAGGGAAACCAACCTGGGTAGAAGTAGAGCACCGTGTGCTTGGCCTGCTTCAGCAAGTCCTTAAGGCTGATGTCTTTGCCAGCGTTGCTGGGAAGCGTGAAATCGGGGGCCATGCTACCAACAGCCGGCGCTGCGCACGCAATAGAACAACAGCAGGTGGTAGAGATTAGCTGTGTGACGAGTCGCTTGGTCTCGACGTACTTCACGGCAATCACGCGGCGCAGTGCGTTGGCACACTTTCGACGGTGGTTTGCTTGTGCTCCAAGATAGATATTTGTAGCCGCTTGTAGATGCCCCCTCGTTTTCCCCTGAGCAGTATGACGTGCCGAATGGCACATGGACGCGGTCGAATGGTGACACAGGTCGTTGTCTACAATAGGCACACGTGACGAGTTGAGCAGGAAGAAGCCTGTATTGATGGTACCAATGTCACGAGGTGTCGACCGAAACATTCCAACAGCAGTAGCTGCTGCGGCGGCAGCGGCACCGTACCTCATGCGGAGCACCTTGCAGTGCTGCTGGCTACTGTACACATACGGGAAACAGCTGCAGCATCGCAGCACACGCCAGCAGCAGCAGCATCAGCTAGTGTAAGGGGGCTAAAAAGGGGGCTCTCAGGCATCGGCCAGCTGTTTTACATGATCAAAGGACCCAAGCGGCGGCGTAGCAATAGCAGTGACTCATGATTTTTGTATCATTGCGCACACGGCGCAAATGCGTGCATCGCACACATGAATATCAGCCAAGAACGAGTGATCGAATACTAGCACAGCTGCTGGAAAGCACTCACGTGCGGCCGCCACCGAAGCGAGGGGTGCCGCTGCCACGCCCGCAATGCCAGCTGCGCCAACGCCAACCTGCCGCAGGAAGTCCGCTCTCTGCAACCCAACTCCCGATGAAGAAGGTCGCACCGACATCGTGAACGCACCAGTGCTGGGCAAGCCCGCAAGAATAACAGCCAGGATCGAGAGGTAAGCCATCATGATAATGTGAGGGAAGCCGGATGGGAGGAGCTACGATGGGTTAATGCGGATCAGGCAGAGACGAAGCAACGAGCGAACTGGTGCTCGAAGGTTTCATGCGAGTTCTTCAGGCGTGAAAACGCGGCGTAACCTCGAGGGTCTGACATGACGTGTCCGGGGCAATCAAGAGGGTGGAGTGACCCACCCACACAGCAGGCGCGGTTGCTCTACCTGTTGCTTACGAGCCACCTGGGAGAAGGAGAAGCACCTTGTTGCATGGAACTGGCGACTGGAAGTAGGCGATGAAGCATTCTCGATGTCAAGACCTGGCCATCGGCGTGGTTGCGTGCTTGATGATGATCAGAGTTGACGCCTTCCTCGCCGCGTCATCCAACGGACTGTCTCAGGCTCAGCGCTCGCACCAGATAACAGCAACGTCCCGGCGACGAGCGCCATATTTGACAGTGACCATGAGGTCCACCACACGGCAGAGCAACGGCAAAGGAGTTCCCCCAGCGCGCGAGGAAGGAAAGAGGAGAACACCTCAAGAGATCGCAGGCGAGTCCAATAACCCCGCCACTCTGCAACAGGCAGTTGGCAACGTCTCTGTAAGACAGCAGAGCTCCTGGTGTACATAGCTGGGCGCCTGCCTGTACAAGTATCGTCTTGACTGCTTGTACCTGTACTACACCGCTCCAGCAGGAGACTGAGGCTGCCCTCCTACATTTTCACAGTTATCACTGAACGTGAATGCCGCAAGAAGAGCTACACCAGTATGTTGTAGCATTGCTCAATCGTCTCCTGGAAAAAAACAAAAAACGCACTCCCTTTCGAGTTCGAATCATGTGTCATCTCCGCAGTCTGGTATTCGCTGACCTCCGCATTCGCGATCACCCGCTAGGATCAGAGCCTCAACCCTACCGGCTACGTCCCTGTGGATGCCTCGGTGAGACCTGTGTCGAGATCATCACAGCTACACAGTGCGCCCTTGTTCTCTGCCTGGTGTTTACCTACGTATGTCCTTGCGTTTTCTCGGGCCTTTGGTTTTTAGATTTCTATGATGGCGCGAAATATGCTTGGTGAGCTACGGCAGTAATCCAACCTTTCCTACCATATACTACTTCACATGTCGTGTTTCCTTTCCAGCCTTGGCTACGTAGGTGGAACTGCAGGGAGCGAGCGTACTAGATTGTACGCACGTCCGACCACCCTCTTTCGTCGCTGTGCTCCGCTCTTCGCTGCGCCTGTCTTGCAGAGGACGGGCAATCTTTCTTATCGCTGGCGATCGATGTTGTCTCCAACACCGGCGTCAGAACAGGCGCTATTCGTTCTTCGCAGGCTGCGAGGTGAGCTGCTAGGAGACACAAAAGGCGTGATGAGCGCGCTGATGTACGCGTACAGTCTTGCAGTCGCCAAAGTAGGTGCGGACGCGCTGCTGATACTGCCTGGGTTACGAAAAGGGCTTGACGCCACCAGTATTGACAGATGACCGACACATTCTGGCATGTACCTGTTGGTACACAACCGTCGCGGCGACAGTTAAATCAGACCTTGGAGGCAAGTTCTATTTGGACGCCCTTTCGCTCGCACCCGCTAAGAGCTTGTGTGGACACTGATCCGGAGGACAAGACTCTTCTTCCGACCCCCTTGTATTATGCGTTATGTACCCATCGCATCGTTGTTAACATTGCGTTGACTCCAGCCGCCTGCTCTTCTAGGTGATGCCCTGGACGCATGTTGCGACTTTCCTTCAGAGGGATTTCGTACAACGTTCCATGTCGAGGAGTCACACCGCAAGGCTTACCCTATGAATGGAGTGCATTGCTTGTTTCCACTCCCGCTACAGAGTGTGGTCTGGCTCCGTTCTGAGGAGGACGTGCGTACCCTCTGGATCTCCGCATACCACCCTCTGAATTTTTTGACCGCCGTCCAATGGGTGTGTTTGGATGTAATCTTGAAGGCAATTTGCCGGTCCAGAGGGACGAAGAAGGCGTAGAGGATTTCAAGGAGCGAGCCGATTGGTTACGCATGGTCGCAGTTTTTCGGACCAAATACAACCTGTGCCGGCCGTGGTAATCAAGAGTGCACCCACTACTTTTGAAAACGGCCCATTGACAGTGGCATTGCTTCGGGAGACGTGCGACAAGCTGAACATGTACCTTTCATCCGGGGGTGGGTGACCAAAACATGATTGCTCGACGTGTTGACGTCGCGTATCCTCATCACAATTTATCGTCAGGGCGACGGCATCGACGGCCATCGACGTGGCTCTGAACGTGCTGGGCGGCGTGCGAGATGGAACCGGGCCTGTCGAAACCCTCAAGAAAAGCCCCCCTTCTGTTCTGAGGAAGCTATGCGAAAGGATGGGAGCCACGTATGTCAAGGTGCGCCCGGAATTGGGTCTGCGGTATCTTCCGCCGATCTGTTACTATCCACTCCCTCTCTGCTGTCGTTAATCCCCGCTGCCAAGTTTGATCTTGGAGATGTGCTCTTTTTGCCTAATCGGAATCGCCCCTATTTGCCTCTCCTCCATTCCCCCCGTGTTTGGATTTTTCCCCTCCTTGTGGACGTTAATCCTAGCTTTGTAAACCCCATGGCGCCCCGCTTCATATTGATAGGTGGGGCAATTCATCGCGAGCAGTCCCACGCTCTTCCCCGCCGACTATGTGAAGGAGTTTCAGAAGTGTTTGGACAAGACGGACAACATCCCTTGGAGTGAGTAACCGCTGTAGTGCTAGAACTGCCACTCGTATCGCTCGTTTTTGAGCGGGGCCTGACGTCGTGGAATCGACGATGGAGAGATGCACCCTTTTGTGTTGGGACAAACCTTAAACCACTCTCGAAAAATTCACTTTCCAGGGATTACCTAGCTCAATTGTTTTGCAGGATACCTTATTTCGAATGATGAAGCTCCAACACCCCCACAGAGCCGTCGGTGAATGAGAACCTCGTTACATCTTTGGTGGCTTTTTGATGGGACATGTTCATGTTCCACCGCTGACCCATGTCAGTTTGCAGCAGAGTTGGGCGTCGGTCCTCCTTCCGATGCATCAACGACTGCGATCTATGCTGAATCACCCAGGCCTTTTGGTTTTGTAAAACGGGCATCCCATGGGCTGCTCTACCAAAAGCTCGTGTTTAACTTTATCAGCAATCGCAGGTATCGTGCAATTGGCACGGTTGAGCCCGCTTGCATAACATCGTCGCAACACACGAACGTTTGAAGGAAATGGAAGGAAGCTAGCTTGGTTGGACGTGGCCAACCAATGAGGGACACATAGCGTGTGCGGGATCTTTCGAGAGTCGCGGTTGGGCGTGGACAGTTCATGTTTTGACGAGGTTTCATGTTCCTTTTCTCATCACTAAGTTTTGCGAGCTCTAGTTGTTTGAAACTATTCCCCCCCGCCCCCCCCGGTGTTTGCCATGGGGGTTGGGTTTTCGTCGCTTGGCAACGACGTTGTAAAGAAGCCGCCCCCCGCGGTGTTTGCCATCGGGATTGGGTTTCGTCGCTTGGCGACGACGTTGTAAAACAAGCCAATTCACTTTGTAAGCTCGGCAACCAGGTTATTACCGATTGTTTGTTTTACCTTTTTTTTTTATTGGCGGTAACCATAATGGTGGTCGAGCAGATCATGTTGTGCGGGGTGGAGAACCCTCACTCCGCGCAAGGGTGATGATCACACCACGTTGTGTTGAAATGGTCAAGCACCCTCGAGGCAGTTACACAGTGCCTACAACTGTCGCTGGAAGTGAAAGCACCAGAAAGTAAATTAATTCATACGCAGCTGTCATCCGTACGCAAGGAAGTAAGCACAAGATGCCGAAAACNTTACCCTCGATTCCTGAAGGCACGATGCGGCCAATCATCGAGAAGGACCTTGGCAAGCGAGTTACGGAGGTTTTCTCCTCGATTAACACCGTGCCCCTAGCCTCGGCCTCCATCGCACAGGTTTGGACAGTCGGTAACTCCGAATGATCCTTACAGGATGCGTATATTTGTGGAGCTGTATCCTTTTTTTCGAGCGAGTCTTCTCTTAGATAATGACACCCCTCTGCGTGGACCGTCATTATTTTGGTATAGTTTGTGGTCAGCCACAGCGAATCATTAGTCTTGGAATAAATATTAACCTTACGGCAACCCGGAGAAGTGATGCAGAAATCTTTCTCATTTTACGCCGTTGATTTCTTCGATCAACCCCACACTCTTCTCTAGATGTCAGACTATTTTTCTGAGGTTGATCGAATGATGTGGCGACAACATTATCCCCCAGTCGGAAACTACAAGTGGCTCAAGTTTGGTGGAGGTTGGTTTCGGATTGAAGTTACCTAGCAGTGGAAAAGAGCTTGATTTGTGGCCGGAGACTTTGTTTGCAGTATTCACGTTCACAGCGGTACTTACAGTGGTAGATATTTAGGGTTTTAAGCTTGCCTCGTCGAAGAAGTGCTTCCTACAGTGACACGGACAGCAAGGCATGGCCAACAGAAGCCATATTAAACACTGCCGTGAGCAAATCAGTGCCTTTGAGAGCAAGGCGTAATGCGTTGTGGATCAGGCGAAGGGTTTCAGGCAGTGCTGCAGCGGTTTAGTGTATTCAGTTTTCTTGTAGAGAAGGGGGGTGCACTCGTAGCCGTGCACGCCGTAGCGCTGGACCAATGACCTCACATCTCTACAAAGTCGGGACGGATCAGGGGGTGCATTTGTCATGCATGACCTCATGCCTGAGACCACCCGTCCGCCGGGAGCCACCGGATAGGAAGAAATATTGACTACGTGTCCATGGCGCTTTCGCCGCTCATACGTGACGGCCGGACGAAACAGGTGTACGCCGCTACGTTGAAAACCGGGGAAGACGTGGTGATCAAGGTGCAGAAGCCCGGCGTGGCGGAGGTCCTCAAGACTGACCTGGGCTTCATGTACATCACGTCGAAGCTTGTCGAGGTTCGTAACCGTGTCGACGGTTCTGGGCTGTGTTCATCGTAGTTGTACCTCTTTTGGGCTGGTGCCGGTGACCACGGAAAGCGGCCGCTTCAGTTGAACCAAGCACGGGTGCTTTTCTAGAAGGTACCAACGCGACCACAAGACTCAACAAACAGGGAAGCTACTTTTGTTTGGTGGTTTGGCCATTTTTGAAAAATGTTGAAGTGCACACCACACGATTTCTTGTTGTCACTTTTCAGGACATCTTACTATTGTATTCTTGTTGAATTCCAAAACCAACACATTGTTTTTCTGCCCGCGGTTTGACCATCTGTCCCACCGCCTTTGCTGCTCACTCGTTCCGTGCATCGTCGCTCGTGACAACAGCTGGTGAACCCCATGTTCGCGAGCCGTCTCAGCGTGTCAGATATCGTCGGGGATATCAGGTAGGGATTGGCTTCGGAAGCATTGGGCTTTCACCCTTGTGCTTCTGTGACACCAGGACAAACTCTGTGGTTATCCTACCCTCCCAAGAATGACGTAAACCTTTGACGAGCTGAACCTTTTGTACCGAAAGTCCCGAAAACCGCAAGTACTGCCACTCCTATGGAAAGATACAGAGACGTGGACATCGCCTCTGCCGCTGTAAGCAAAAGGTAAAGTGTCCGTTCGCACACTTGGTGATTCTTGCGACAGTCTATCGATTCTGCGGATGCGAACAGAGAAGGGTGCGGAAGTGGCGTGGCGAGGCGTGAGTAGCAAGAACACATCACGAGAGCTGCCTAGTCGATTAGCACCCGACGTGCTTCTTCCAAACCACGCTCAACTCTGTGGTGATGCAGGGTTAATGTCTACGGTAGCTGGATTGTGTGGCTATTCAAGAGCTGGAGTATTCCCCCCCCGTTCTGGTTTGAGAACTCTCTCTTACATCCTTGAACACCTGCAAGGAATTCCACCATGTGCATATGTCTACAACCCCCCCCTTAGGGAGTGTCGAATATACTCCCCGGGGGCAAAGCAAGAAGGCATCATCAAGGTTATCACGGTTGTATCGTTGTAGCTCAACGCGGTCGAACCGGTTTCCGTACAAATTGCGGAATAGTCGTGCATCATGTGCGGCGACCCTCTTGTTTCTCTGGCCGTGGCATCTCGCGTGTCGGTAATTGTGTGCCGTTAGGCTATAGCGGTGTCTTGTTGTAACTCTCTGCTTTTGATCTATTTCGCTCAGGCGTGTTGTTTATAGTGTTGTCGTTGTCGTTGTTGTTGTTGTTGTTGTTGTTGTTGTTGTTGTTCTTGTTGTTGTTGTTGTTCTTGTTGTTGTTGTTGTTCTTGTTGTTGTTGTTGTTCTTGTTGTTGTTGTTGTTCTTGTTGTTGTTGTTGTTCTTGTTGTTGTTGTTGTTTCTCACATTAGCTCTATAGTCCACAAAAAATGGGGAGCCCGTGGTCTCAAAACCCGGCACATACGACGGCGCGGGAAAAAAAAACAAAACTAGGGAAAAAACCACTTGGAAAAAGAAAACAAAATGATAGAAAGAACAGAACAGGTATCACACCGACCGTTCGAGAAAATAGCCCTCGGGAACGGATCAGAATAAAACAAACACAAAAATAAAGGATGTGTGAGGGCGTGTTTCGCGCAGGAGTTCACATGTCCTGTCCGTGCGTATGAACGGAAAAGTTTTGTAAATCCTGCGAAGGCTCTTGTGGTTCGGAACCCTTCCCCGCGAAAAAGTGCCAATCGCGGCAGCTTCAGGCGCAAGCGCACGTACTATGGATGACTGGCGGACCTCGAGCATGCGCGGTAATGCACGGACGGGCCTCCTGCGTGCCCCTGGGTAGGATTCGTCTAACAACGCCCTCTGCCGCCAGAGAAAGATGTTCCCAAGCACGAAAAACATCAAAATCTACGTATAGTGTATATCCTCGATGCTGGATGAGCTGAATTTGAAGACCATAAACCAGAAGACGTCTCACCCTTCCACAGCGATTTCATTAAGAAGTACGCACGCATATGCTGCCATATCCCCCCCTCAGGTCCTCGATGCTGGATGAGCTGGATTTTAAGAAGGAGGCCGCGAACCAGGAAATCTTTCGGGCGTTCCTCAAGGAAAGCGGGATCGATCACGAGGTCACCGCCCCCAAAGTCTTTCCGGAGGCTTCGACAGAACGAGTCTTGACGATGGTAAGCCCTTCTGCATGTTGGTTGCCGTTGCTCCCTAATCTCATGTGGTCGTTGAACGCTGTGGTTATGCCGTTGTGGTTATTTTAATCGGTGGTTGTGTCGTGGGTCTCGGGTGTGATGCGTGGAAGGCTCTGACGAAAGAGTCTCCCTGATGCGCGTGCGTTGTGTGTTGTCAGTCCACCCATGCAGACTTACTGTACTATAGATATATGGAGTAGCTTGTATTCGTGAGGTCGTACCAGCTGAGGTAATACAACGAGGGAGGCTTGTCTTGTGCAGTGCCCGCCTGTCTTTTCCCCCATTTTCACTACCAGAAAAATCAGCTTTCCTTTGCCTCGTCGATCGTGCAATCGGATGTTGCGTATCTCCATTCGTCGGGCATTGTCTGAATGAAGGGTGTACGTTTGCGTTTTTTTCATTCGTTGTCTACTGACTCATGTTCCGAATCGTCACAGGGCACGTTGAGACAATAAACAGTTGTTGATGGCGTCAGCGCCTCTCCTTGCGTAGGTTGGAGAATATACGGGCGCCGTAAACTATGCACACCAGTTTTAAGCGTGCTTTGACTGCATACGGATAGTCAATTTCCACCGGCATTGGCAGTAGCTGCAAAATCCTTGCTCCTTCACAGGACAGACGCTGTCCATCGTGCAAGTTTCTTGTGCGAGCTCTTCCTTACATCTTAACTCCTTCCATTATTGCGTAGCATCATCGCATTGGTGTACCGAGCCAATGGCAACGATTCATAAGTAGTTGCTCCCATGTGGGTGTCGAAAAATGTTGCTGCTAGTGGCTCGCCGCTTCTTTTTTGCATTTTTTGGGCCCACATCACTCTCAAAGGTTGGTACCATCCATTGTAGTATATGGTAGTACTATTCTGAGATGATGATGCTATTGGCTTACCTTTGTACAGAAAAGGACAACAATTTTTGCTCTCGACCAAGCTGTCCTTTACACCTCACTTTGCAGGAGAGATTGTATGGAGTTCCTTTGACGGACTTGGAGGGGATTCAGAAGGTGTCCCAGAATCCGGAAGCCACGCTTATTTCGGCCCTGAACACATGGACTCTATCGGTCATGAATTGCGATTTCTTCCACGCGGTGAGTCGAGGATTGGAACTTCGACCATCATATGGTAAAGGAATTTCAGGTTGTGTCTGCTGTCCAATGTGGTGCTAATGACGAGAGTGTCGTTATACGTAGAAGCTATTAAGGTGCTCTTGCTATGCACGACAGCTGCGCCACAGTTCAATCTTCCAGTGAGCACAGTTTGATTTGCAAGATGCCGATGACCAAACAGGCATAGCAGCCGCACCGCCAATGCTACACCTTTTACACACGGGAATAAGAAACAGGAAACTCGTTTCTACTCTGATTGGCTGACCGACAATAAATAACGTCCCTGGAAACATGTTCAGCCTCGAAGGTTCCACGTATGTGGTGATCCCGCCGCTTCATGACTGCAATGCGTATTTAAGTTGTCCAATACTGCTTGGAACACGGCCTTGTCGGTGGCAATTCAGGACATGTAATGAGATGTGTGTGATCAGGTTGGGGCATGTCGCTGCCACACGTGCTGCCCGCTATATGTAGCGGTTCAAGCGATACAGGTAGTACCACCATCATCAGGTGTCTCACGCGAAAAGTTAGCAGCGGGTGCTCGTGTAGGCGTTGTTTTGGGGAACAAAGAATTCCAAAAACAGACGATGCTTCCGTTGACCGCAACTCAAGAATTTACCGTTCCAGAGCACTTTTGAGGGGACGGGTTGCACGACGAGCACCGGCTGCTCTGAATAATGCCGGTTGCCTGCTTGCATGCCGGTGAAATCGGCTGGATCGCACCGGCATTGTTCGGGGATCAACTCACTTTGGCCACGAACAATGTGCAGGACGTTCATGCGGGTAATCTGCTGGTTTTGGAGGACGGCCGGGTGGCGTTTATCGACTTCGGGATCGTTGGACGGTTTTCTCCGGACACTTGGACAGGGGTTAGCCGCCTCGCAGACGGGGTTGCTGATGAGGATTTCAACGTCATGGCGGAGGTGAGGGTAATGCTTCCAGTTGCAGAAAGGTCCGTTGCAGGTGTTTCCGAACCCTCCAGAGGCAACGGCTGGTTGAGATGGAACGCAGGTATTTTTCTGCCCAGTTCCATGGCGTTATCCAAAAAAGAACACAGCTTCGCTACAACAAGTCATCATGAAAATTCTTGAACGGAACGAAAGGCTGCTGTCCGCTCCGCGACATCCACTCAGAGTAGCGTTCCGGCACCCCGCCACGGGAAAGAGGCACCACAGAGAGCTCCTGGGAGACCGTAGTTGCTCCATCTCGGGAACCCGAACCCCCTTTTCCAGTATCCTCCATGACCCGTTGTCAGAGGGGAGCTCATGACTACAATAGCGTTTGTGGGCTTGAAGTTTTTTCAGTAGCCAGCTGTGGAGCCCTGCATAACAGTAAAATGTGAAATATATTACACATGTCGGGCTCCATGTGCATAAAACATGTATGTGCGACTTTACCAACGGCAGTTATTCACCTTCCTTGCAAATTTGTTTTTTATGTACCGTAACCGCTACACACGTTGGAACAGTTCGGAGGTCCACGGTCAGTTTATAGGCATGTCCGTTTGGTTTTTGTCGGATGGATCGCCAAGCAGCGATTGTTCGCCCTCCTGCTTGATATTCCAGGAAACAACGACTTCCAGGGTCGCGACTCGATGGCACTACTCATAAGTCACGGAGATAGTCTTTAGACTGTTGATGCAACCGCATGTCTGTTGTACATACTGTAAAATGTGACTACCTTCACGCAGCGGTGCGGTAGAGCGCCTCAGAAAATCCCCCCAAAGTAGAAGTTCTTCATACACCACAAGTTCAGCATAGACACCACTGACATTCATACAAAGCAACATGTATGAGCCTTGGAGGGATTTTTGCGTGCGGTGATGATCCTAGCATGTGTGTCTCCACACGACACCGTTAGCTGTCTTCGGATAGTGAGGGAGGGGGAGGTGTACTCTAATCGTGCATGTCGTTAGACAAATGACCTCGCATCCCTACAAAGCCGGGACGGAGCACGCCGGGTTTTTACCGGACTAGGCTAGCACATCACCAAGCGCGAAGCGTCGTGAGGTATTCGGCGAGTCGCATGGAGGATGCGCTGCATCCTGCCAAGGGTGTTCGGCATCTCGTGCTTGCTTCCTTGCATACGGATGACAGCTGCGAATGACTTAATCTATTCTTTGGTGCTTTCACTTCCAGAGACAGTTGTAAGCACTGCTGTGTAACTGCCTCGAGGGTGCTTGACCAATTTATCACCACGTGGTGCGATCATCCCCCTTGCGCGGAGAGAGGGTTCTCAACCCCGCACTACATGATCTACCGCCGTTGCAAAGCGACGAAAGCCGATGGGGGGGACCGTGAGGGAGGGAGATCATTTTAGAATAGCTGTGTTTGTAAATGATGTATCCACACCTGCTCCACTACAAACCAACATTCAAGGATGAGCGCCAAGACCCCAACTCGGACAGGCTGGGCTTTCGGCCAAGAACAATGGGGGTGTTGTGGAGGTCTTGATATGGTTTATTGCTGAAGTAGACACATACTTCGAAATACATCATAGTAGACCTGCGAGATGGGTGGCAACGTGGAAATGGGTCACGGTCGTTCTGAGGATCGTTACTCGTTTGATCTTTTCAGCGTGAACCTTTGGGATGTTGGGAAATGGGTCCACGAAGGCTCCCCGACCTCCCCACAACACCCACTCTAGCTTGGCCGAATTCGCCCGGTCCCGCTTGGCATTCCTCGCCACATTCCACGACAGGAAACCGCGAATCTCCGGCGGGTCATAGCCACTACACTCCGGATCCTACGCCCACCTGGGGTTGAGGGCTCCATACATCAGCATTTTCGTAATTTCGAGCCAGTTCTCTCCTACAATTGTAGTTGGTATGGGATATGTCTAGTGGCATCACCTCCCAGGGCTGGTGTAGCCACTTCTTTCTGTAATTTAAATCTAGCGTCTTCCGTAGCCGGAGCATTTCATATCCCATACTTTTGACATGCATTTGTTTTCGTATTTGAAACATTTGTCGTTTCCCTAAGAACATGCCCTGTGTACAAGTTGACAGCAAATGCTTCCCGCTGAACGCTAAGTACGCTCATGTGCTCTCCGTGACTTCAGCTTTCAGCCAGTTCAAGCACAAGCTGGACGACTGACTGGCGTCGACGACATCAGTCGGCCGTTCCAGCGAAGGGATCAGTTGCTGCACGTGGATCAAGTGCCCGTACTGTCGAGGCTCGGGCATGTGCTTGAACTGGCTCAAAGCCGAAGTCGCGGAGAGCAAATGAACCTACCTAGCGTGCCACTACACAGAACGTGAGCAGAACATGCAGAAAGTCCAAACAACGGGGGGGGAGGGGGTGTACTCATAGTCGTGCATGCCGTAGTCGTTAGACCATCGACCTCGCATCCCTACAAAGCCGGGACGGAGCACGCCGGATTGTCACTGGACCAGGCTCTCACATCACCAAGCACGAAGCACCGTAAGGTATTCGGCGAGTCGCATGAAGGGGCTGCATCCCGCGAAGGGTGTTCGGCATCTTGTTCTTTCTTCCTTGCGTACGGATGACAGCCGGGTATGATTTAATTTATTTTATGGTGCTTTCAGTTCCAGAGATAGCTATTAGCACTGTGTAACTGCCTCGAGGGTGCTTAACATTGAAAGACAGCATGGCGCGATCATCCCTTTTGCTTCCGAGTGAGAGTTCTCGACCCCGTACAACAACTATCTCCTCGACCACCATTCATGGTTATCGCAAAAAAAACAACACAGGCAAAAAACCCGGTAACCTGGTTGCCGAGCTCACGAGGTGATGGCTTGTTTTACAACGTCGTTGCCAAGCGACGAAAACCCAACCTCGATGGCAAACACCGTGGGAGAGTGGGGCGGGGGGGGAGGGGGGCACCAAAAACCAAATGAACGAGCGTGAGCGTAGAGTAAAGCGCCGCCCGCACACACAAAGGTGACTAATAGAACGCGAGAACACGGAACACCGTCATTTGGCCCAATCAAGAACATCCAACAGGAAAAATACACGCGGGACCGACGAGAAAGAAAGGAGAACCGGTGGCGCGTGTCCTGCGGAACAGAGAGAGCGATGTGTGCACACGCGAACGAGTGCTGGGGCCAACCGCCCGAATCTGGCGCCGAACGGAACGAAGCGCCATCGAAAACGAGACGGAAACGAACGTACCGCGAGATAACCCCCGCGTGAGATACACCAAGGACTTCTGTCTCGATCCAACAGGGAAATCACCCCGCGTAGAACATGGGCAGAGCACCATCGAAGGCTAAAAGCGCCGACAACAACGAACGAACTCCTCTGGAACAGGGCATGTGAACGACCTGAGAAATGCGCATCGACAAAACCGTATAAGCGTCGTGCGGTAGAGCCGCAGGCGGGAAAAACGCAGCTATACGCTCGCCAGCGATCCACGAAACACAAGGGTTGGAAATATGAACAGCACTCGAGATTCGGAACAGCAACCCAAGATACGGAACTGAAGGAGTGGTGACGCCGCACGATAGCGGTTGAAAACGAAGAGTTCTCCCACTCTAGCGCGCCGAGAGCAAGTAGCGACGCCCACGACCGATAGTATCGCTCACCGTGCGGGATACGCAAAATTTCTAGGACGGGTAGTAGTGTAAGACGCATGCTGAGCACACGAGATTATCCGGCTGTACATAGGCAGGACGACACGCGAGCGTTTGTCCGAAACACAGAAACACATGGAACGTGAACGTCCCCCACCATACACCAACAACCACGGGAAGAAAAAAGGGGAAATTCCAATAGGGGTCCGTGTTTTGTCATGCCTCCCAGCGCGGCGCAGCACGCGTGCTGCCCCGAGCGAAACATGAGCTGTAGAGCGCCGAATTTTGTTCCGATAAGTAGATCATGTTGTGCGGGGTGGAGACGCCTCACTCCGCGCAAGGGGGATGATCGCACCACGTTGTGTTAAAATGGTCAAGCACCCTCGAGGCAGTTACACAGTGCTGACAACTGTCTCTGGAAGTGAAAGCACCAGAAAATAAATCAATTCATTCGCAGCTGTCANGCTGGTCCGGTAAAAACCCGGCGTGCTCTGTCCCGGCTTTGTAGGGATGCGACGTCAATGGTCTAAGCACTACGGCATGCACGACTNTTGTTATTTTTGCGGTAATCATGAATGGTGGTCGAGTAGATCATGTTGTGCGGGGTCGAGAACCCNAGTAAAGAACAATTGCCGAACACCCTGATCAGGATACAGCGCACCCTTCATGCGACTCGCCGAATATCTCATGGCGCTTCGCGCTTGCCGATGTGAGAGCCTGGTCCGGTGAGAACCCGGCGTGCTCCGTCCCGGCTTTGTCGGGATGCGAGGTCAATGGTCTAACGATTATAGTACGGCATGCACGACTATGAGTACACCCCCCGCCGAAGTCACCAGTTTGCTTAGGGCCCTCTGCAGGTTGGAAGCGGAAGGCGACGAGGCCGCCCGAATGACGCAATCCAGAGAAACATCAACCCTCTCCAGCACCCAATGAACGGTACCTTGGCCGTCATCGACGACAACCGCCTTCGAGGCGTCGACGTCAAGGTTTCCCGACATAGCGACTGAGAAGAGGAGAAAATACACCGCAGGAGGGGGTCCGTCGGAAGTCGCGCCACACCCCGAAGCACAGCGTTCGGGGTAGAGCGCGTGCTACCGAGTTCAAGTTTTTGCCGATCGATTTTCAATCGGTGTTTTCCTCTCAAAACAGGGTTGTGAGGTCTGGATATGGAGACTCAGGGAGCACAGACACACGTACATAAAGAGAAGGGTCTGAGGGTATATGTCATTATAGATCACAGTTTCCCGAGGGTCACGACTAACGATTTTAAACAGCTGCGAATATTTGATGAATCTTTAGGAGGATGGGAAAATGGGTTCACGAAGGCTTGCCCACTCTCCGCACCACCCTGGCTTGACTGAGTTCGCTCGGATACGCTTGATTTTCCTCGCCACATCGCACCAAAGGAAATAGCCAGCCTCCGGTGGCAGGTCATAGCCACCACTCTCCGAACTCTCCGCTCACCCAGAGTAGAGGGCTCCATATTGACATCTCTTCGTCGACGCCACTGTGCAAAGAAGGAATCGTCCTCGATAGATTGTACCGTTTTGAAGGTGGTTTCCACAGGGTTCATTATTTTAAAGTGAGCGTGTTTGCTGACTCCAAAAGTTCCGTGACAGATCTGGGGAATATTTTATTTTTCTCCATTTCTGGTTCTAATAATACCCGCTCCACGAGGATTTTACCCTCCACTATTCCGCCCCCCTGTGTGGCACTTAAAAACGAAGTTTTCATTGGCGGAGAGATCCTGCTTGGTGAAAAAAAATCTTGTTTTAGCCTTGAACGATTTGAAGGTTGATTTGCATGTAGAGGGTGTAGCTCTCTGGCTGATCGTTTGGACTCACGAGGAACACTATGAGCGTGGTGGAAGTGCGGCGTGGGCCAGCCTCATGAGCAACCCAGCACGAGCGCGATAGAGGTGCTTTTTATTTGCCAAGTATCTCGGCGGCTGCATCGCCTTCATTCTCCTTTGCAGGCCATCGGTCGTCGTGTGGGCCCGAGGCTTCTTTTGGTTGAACCACCTCCCATCCCCAGGCGCGGTTTGTAGTTACATTTTGTTACTGCTTACGGTTGAACGTGCTGTTGTTTGCTGCCGCTACTGCTTTCCGGTTGCTGGCCAGGCGCTTTGCGAGATGGGGGCTACCGTAGGACCGGTCGACACAGCAAAATTCGCGTTGGACCTTGAGGGACTGTGGACAAGATTCAACAGTTTAGACCCCGAAGCCATGCTAGCGGCATCTGGAGGCGCAGCTAGCGATACCAGGTGATGTGCAGGTTCCTGTCCCACAGGCTAGGACATCTAGGCGAGCCTTGATGAGCTCTCGCGTGAGTGCTTGAGTTATGCTACACCTTCTTAATCCTGGGTCCACCCTCCCGTAACCTTTTCGCGGTACCAGCTGACTGACTGGATCATTGACAATCGCTGCAACTCCCCGCTTACACGCTCACCTTGTTCACCCACGACGAGCACCCGGGAGTCTGTTTGTCATGCTATGGTTGCTGTACGTGTTTAACGGCCGCAGCAGCAAGAGCAAAGCTCCCAGAACTACTGCGGCAGGCTCCTGTTGTTGGTACAAATGATACTGTACCTCCTGAACCATTGATATAATTCACCTGCGAGGCATGGAACACACTTTCCCCAGCATTGAAAAAACGATGCATGTATTTCCATAAATTCATTACCGTCGATCATCCCGTTGGCCTCTTTTCTTTTTACGTTCGAATTGAACTCGCAGCAGACTGCCTTTGGTTACCTCTCGATGCATGAGCTTTTTCAGTTCCTCAGGACGTTCACCCATTCAAGGGTCTGTCCGTTCCGATTTTCACCTGCCGGTTTGACTCTTTGCGTCAATCGTTGCTTTGCAGCAGCGGCAGCAGCAGCGGCAGCAGCACGCGCTTGGATGAAAAAGCAGAACAGGAGGCGACCGGGTTCCTGCTCGACCTCGTTTCTGTCTCCCGGGAGAATGGGCTCAAGCTCCCCCGAGGTATGTTGCTGTTGTTGCTCCTGTCCTGTTTGGCTTTTGTACTGATGCAATACCTTCTGCCCCTTCCCCCCCCCCCAAAGGTTCCGTGTCGTATAGTCATCGAGCTCCTTGGCGAACGTTTGTCTCAACTACGCGTAGGCACCCAGCGCGAAACTGTTCTCTGGTGTCCGTGTCCTTTGCTTCCGATTCCCAATAGAATATGGTTTGATGTTTGGCCAGTTGAAAAGGGTATTCCGCTGATTACGCAGCACCTAATCTTGTATCGCTACTTGGTTCTCCCTGTAGCGTCGGAAGATGGCGTTTTTTTTTTCCCGACCTCGTATCTACAACCGCTCTTCACGTTCACCAATGACTGCTTGTACGGCGTGGTGAAGGGAATCGATGTGCGAGCAACAGGATATAAACGTAAAAATCAGGCCTCGAGTTACCGGAATAGCGACCGGAACGTTTCGAAAAGTAGCGTATACTTCCGCAGTTGGGCTCCTGTGGAAACGGCTCGTTTTTGTCCTTCCTACACAAAATGTAGCATGGTTCGCCTCCTAAATTGTCATCAATAGTGACAGAGTTGGATCCAACCGTGCGAGTGGAGAAGCCGGATTCGTATCGGCGCCCATTGCAGTATGGCGGTGTTTCCTCCTTGTCGCCCTCCATGTTACTTCCGCGGAAAACGGCCGTCATCCTAAAAATTGGAACAAGCGGAACTGCCGAACTTCCCGTCACAGGCGGCCCTTGGGATAAATGAAGCTTGGCTCAAGACCTCAAGTCCTTATTGGAGCGCTGTAGAATTCGCGTGTTCGGTTCACCATTACGTTCTCCCGCCCTGACATAGTAGTACCATCGTCAACAATCTGAACACTTTTCTCGAACGGTTTGAATTTACCTCCCCACCCCTTCCCCCCCGTGCTGTTTGTCCGCAAAACCCGCCGTTAGAATTTGGTCTGCTAATTAAGCAGCAACTCTACTTCGACCGGTACACAAAGATTCTGGCACCAACTCTGGACCCCCTCCGAGACAGCAGAATGCAAATGAAGATGAAGGACCAGGAGGGAGGAGTGGCAAGCGGTGAGGACGTGCTAGTCCTTGAAACGAAGAAGGGAGCTGGGAAATCTGACACGGCTGAAGGGGAGATCAAGCGGCTTGCCGACGTCGGAGAAGTAGAGGATGGGACGAGTGGAGACATCGATGGTGATGGGAGAGATGAAGCGGGCCAAGGGGCACAGAAAAATGCAGCACAAGATGTAGGTAACTAGGTTGATGGGGCAGGAGAGATGGTAGGGAGTACGGGTGATGCCCGTGTTCAAAGGGAGGGTGGGGGCGAGACGAAACTAAACAAGAAACGGAAGAAGAAACTTAAAAAGACCTCCAGAAGGATGGCCGCCCTCTACGATCGATGAATATCACCGCATAAACGTCTGCCGGTTCCCAAGTGCCATATCGAGTTTCCGAACCTTGAGAGCTTAAGACAGTGTTGAGTTGCAGTGGTTATCGTTGAGAACATGTTGAATATTTTAATAGCTGTGTTTCGAGAACCCACTGAACACTTGTGAGCTGGCCGTTTGGTTTCGCGCAAGAAAAAACATGGTTTAGACACTCCTTCCGGAAAACTCGCAGAAGCGTGTGCTCGCGAAGAAAGAGCATCCTGCCAGGGTGTGCAAATTTTTCGGTAACTATCCGTCCGTGCATGACGGATCTTTAAGCAGTAAACTCAACCCCATCTCACCAACTAGGCACCAAATTACAAGTCTATCCTTGTGGCCTGGGCATTTATTTGACGACAATGGAACTGTCACGACGGCTTCCAGCTCACGTCGTGCTCAGTTCGTCGAGAAAGCAGCGTATGTCTGCGTGTCTGTGTTGTCGCATCCATCCCCAACGAAACAGAGAGATGTCGTTTTGAGCCTGGCGGATGATGGATGTCGTTTTATGTTGAGAGCGAAAGAGAGATGTGGACTACGGAGATGATAATGGGAGATGACAGGGAGAAAGGGTGCGTGTGTTCTATGCTGTTGTGGAAGCAAGACGGCGTGGGCACAGAGGATGTTGTGTGTGATTCGGTGGTGTTTGGACATTGAGCGATAGAGACAGACAGACAGGCAGAGAGAGGCTGACCTCTCAGACCGCTGCACACCCGGGCAACTGAGAAACAAGAGATCGTAGACGAGCTTGAGACGAGAGACGTTAGCGTGTTGTGTATGTTTGCGTGTCCTGTTGGGTTCGTTGAGTTTGTTGAGTGCCCCGTGGTAAATCCTGCTGTTGTGTGTCGCTGAACAGAGTTGCGAAGAGCGATAGATTTATGGCGGAGTGTGGAGAACACCTTCAGAAAGGTGAAACTCCCCAACGTCTGTCGAGGACGAAACCCTCTTTTCCACTATGGCGTCGACGAAGAGATGTCAGGTGTCTGCTTTTGGGTGCAAAAGACATGGGTTCAAGTCCCGCTGCTCACCTTATTTTCTTCCGGAGTAGTACGGAAAAAGAAAAACGGTGGGTGGGCCAAGAAACGATGCACTGCCTATCGAGCACGAAACGTCAGGCAATGCGTGGCGGAAGTGGCGCACCCGCACACACGCACAGAAGATAGTTGGAAAAAAGAAGGTTATACTCGCCGCCAGCCGGTCGGGTTCCGGCTACCCCAAGAAGACTTCTCTTGCCTAGCAAACAAGAAGAAGCCTCGAAAAAGGGGGGGGTAATGTGGAGAACACCTTCAGAAAGGTGAAACTCCCCAACGTCTGTCGAGGACGGAACCCTCTTTCCACTGGAGCACACAACAATAACAACACAAATGCCTTTACACATCCATCACTGGTGATGTACATGCAGCTACACTGCCGTGCTGCTGTGCACTTATAGGAGAGCCGAGGGCGCAACCTGTTCCTTCCCTGTTCTCTTCGCGCACCAAAACACTGAACGACGAGTTATCGAGTTTGTGTTTCTTGGACCGCGCGCGGGTTTAAATCCTTACTGTCCGTTGTTTCACCCCCCCCGGCCCAAAACAGGTGCACTAGCCTACTGCAGGTACTTCCCCACGCAAAAGGAAACTATCCCACGTCCCCGTTTACACGTTGCTATGGCATTCTGTTGTGCTGTGCTTGTGGATTTCGCTTGTTTTTGGTCTTGCTGCTGCCAAGTGTCATTCGATTTTGCCTCCAAAGAGAACGATGTCTTTCATGTGCGTCAAGGACGTATCCCGCATGTAAGGAAGGGCTTTCTCGATTCTCGCTGATTGAGCTCAAAGCACGAACTGTTGCGAAGTGCACGCATCACAGGATTTTTCACCTACTGAAGGATCACACGTTTGAGGCCGGCAAGATTCCATCCTCCTTTCAATATCGCACCTCACCACGAAACCTTCTCATGCAGCGACCGGAATCTATTCCGAACACAAGAGAACAAGGCGAAAAAGATGGTTAGGTACCGGAATACCGGAATTGCGTTCTTAGGCGAGAAGAATATTCTGTGGGAGGTAGCACAACAGTACCGAAATTTCAATATTTGGTACCGTGGTGACGGCCTCATGACTAAGGGACGGTGTGAAATGCCGGCGTCCTTATGACGGTCCTAGCGTTGGCGCCCGGGCAAATCACATTATTTCTGCCGATCATGCGTATTCAACTTTTTCACATCTTGCCCTAATCATTTTGCTCAATCTTTGTGTTGCATACCTATATCTACGCTAAAACGTCCTCCATTCCAAAGAGAACAACACGCCGCACAAAGTTTTGAACTTTGCCATCATAGGTCTCATAGGCGATTTTATGCCCATACACGGGGAAAGTACAAGGTGCGGCCGTAAGCACGGTACAGTTTCAACAGGAGAATGGCTTGTACGTTGACGGGCTAAATATATTTTCGGCCCCCTTACGGATCAAGAGTGACATGCCCCCAAGCATCTGACGAGGACAGTTCTGACATTGTCGTCGCGATGAAATATCTGAAGTTGGTCGCAGGATACGCCGGGTTCGAATCTCGCCACCCATCCCAACGTGCTGAGGGACGATCAACGGTAAACCGATTGTCGAACTCGTGAAACTTCTGGTGACGACTTGGCGGATACAGCGCACCCATCAAGATACGCGCTGAAGGTTGTGCCGGTGCGTTGACTAGTGGTCAGCAAACCAAGAAATACCTCGTGTTGATAATAATGTCGACCGCTGCAAAGGATCACAACAATAGGGATCACATTTCTCGCAACATCTGTTGAGAATGAATCGCCCTTTCCACATCCTTAATGGCACACTGTCGAACGCGCCCATCCTCAACCTCGGCAAGATATCAGGTATAGAGAGATCGCTTCAACTGCGATGACAAAGTTCCAGGACAGTCAGCGGGAGCTACTGTACAAAGATCCACAACGAAAGGCAGGACCCCCGGAACCCGAACTAGATTTCTCTGTTCGCTTCCTTCGTCACCGCATATCCATCCACACGTAGTCTACATGTAAAAACCACATCAGAAAGGCTTTGTTGCAACCAAACGAAAAAAAAAACGTAGCGTCGACTCTCTTACGAAACACAAGCAGTAGATACGTATCCCGGAAAAAGATTATTTCATGTGAAAAAGTATTCACACCGGCGGATGAACCCCTCCCCATAGATCAATAAATGTTCCTTTAGTGTACAAGTTGCACCCACAAGCGAATCGGCCCCTACTCCTTGTCCGCTAATCCCTTACTCCTCCCCGTGTCATGTAGAGAAAAAACCCTCCAACGCAGGTTCGCTCCTACGCTTGCCTGCTGCTCTGAAACAAGGCGAAAAAACATCGACAGGCGAACAAGACGTACAACAGTACACCCGGGTGTATGTACCACGTTGTTCGGACCGTGAAACATTCACACAGCCTTGTGGCATGTCCCGTGTGCCCAAGAACACAGCCCCGGCCCAACAAGATCGCAATATACTTCGTCCACCCGTCAGGAGATAAGTAGATGTCGCATGCCAAACAGGGGGGAGAAATAACCCCCCGGGATCCCACGACTGCTTAAAGACGGCTGCCGAACACACTTACGAACAGCCATCCGTCGCTCCACCGTTAGCATACAGATAGATGCGGAAAGACAGTTGGTCAACTTCTGCAACGTTCCAGAACAACAACGGAACTACGAATGACTGCTGTGGTATCACCTTTCCTCCCAACGCAAGGTCCGTAGTCTGCAGTCAACAAATATAGTCTATACTACGTACGGCAAAGCTGACAAATACAAGGATACTCCGCTTGGAGAACCAGCCATGCTGCTACCTCTCCCGCCCGTCATTACATTCACGCACACAAACACACGCCTTCAACGCACCGACGGCCGATATACGACGAAACCCGTTGTACCTCCAAACGTATCTACATTGTGCGAGGGCCGATGCTGGTAGATACAATGGAGAGTTTCCTCCGACTTGCCGAACACTTGACTCGTGTTCTGCTTGCATAGACTGTGCAACTAAGTAGCACTTGCACATGTGTGAAAACTCGATTCTCACGTATTACAAGCAACAGTCTAGTCTTCGCGTGTACGTAGGTGTTGATGAAGTTACCTTTGTCGAATCCGTCAAAATGGCACCTGCAGATCGGGCAGACAGAATGACCGCCCTGCAATAGCCTCTGAGAACATCCTGTGCACAAAACGCAATGATTGCAAGGCCGGAACACGATGTCAACCAGACGTTCTCAGCATGCTGCGCACACGAGACTAGCCCCTGCCGAGCGGCTAAATTCGCCTGCTGCCGTGACGTCATTTGTCGAGCTCCCGATACCACTTCCATTGGCGCCGAGAACCTCACAGAGATCGGTTGCGGTGACCGGCTCCGAAGGACGCCCCTCTGGATTGCGGTTGCAACACCTCTCGCGACAATGTGTTATAGGATAAGAAGTGGAGACGGAACATAATAGATAACGGTTCCTGAGAAACATTCTCGGGGAAACATAACTCCCCGTTCCGGGAAGTTTTAACTCCCCGACGTAGGATGAGGCAAGGGACAGATTCTGCTGTCCCCTCTTGATGCAGCTCGTCCGGACCCCCTTAGTCTTAGTTTCTATCCAACCGCGAGTCATCAGCTACTGCTGCTGCTGTACAAGAGTTTATAACAAGTGAGTTATCTACATCGGGCCTTCCAGTTAGCACGGCGCGTGCTTCACCTTAACACTTGGCGTCGTCGGGTTATTGGGATTCGATGGTTGTCTGTCAAGCCCCGAGGTTTACAGTGTTCGTATATGTCCTTTAATTGGAAGGGGAAGACGTTTTATCTCTTGTATTAGACACGCAAGGGGAATAGCGAGAAGTAAAGCCCTCTTTTGGAGTTCGAGGGGTCCCCGCGCACGCAACCATTTCAAGGTGTACATATGCCCCATCTGCGTGCCCTCTGTTGTTGCCGGTAGATCTAACCAGTCCGTATCCAAACACACCAACACCCTCCCCGGTTTGCACTCGAATAGAAAACCTAACGTGGGGCATGGATACCCCTGATCTACCCAAGGGACTCAAAACAACAACAGGCTCGAGGGAAAACCCGGCCAACCGGATCAAAAACCCTCGTCTAACACCCTAAATATAGAAAAACCGTCGCTATCAAGGAGGATTCCAACGGCCGCACTTCCAAGACAAGACCAAGGCAGGACAAATTGAACCGGTCACGCTGATTACACACCCGAAGCAACGCTTTCGGCGTTTCTAGGCTCCAGCCGCGGGTGACGCGCCGGCACAACGCTTCCTGCGTGACGTACCATGGTCATATATGCCAAGTGCTGAAACCACCCACATAAACCAAACAGAACAAGAGAGCACTACATCGGTAGGTTCATCGGAGCCTCCCGGTGGTACTCTAATTTCTCTCTGCCAAGGACGTTGGTCAGCATGTCGGCGTGCTGCTCTTCAGTCGGAACATACTCTGCAGTGATCTTGCCCGACTTGAATAGCTCGCGAATGAAATGGAACCGCACGTCGATGTGCTTGCTCCTCGCTGAGCTGAACGGGTTCTCGATTAAGGCGAGAGCCCCCTTGTTGTCCTCAAGGACCTTGATCTTCGCCCCACTTGTCTCGGGCGCTATGAACGACAGAACGCCACGCACAAACAACGCCTCCTTCACGCTCTCCCCGGCTGCCATATACTCTGCTTCCGAGGTCGACTGAGCCGTCACTGGCTGCGTCTTGGTGGATGCACACACTACGGTACCACCTACGGTCACAGCTAGCCCGGTCGTAGAACGCCTGTCTACTTCGTTGTCAGCGTAGCTGGCATCGACAAACACGCTTAGGTCTAGTCCTGACCCCCGTACGTAGGTGATGCCGAAGTCCTTCGTGAAGTTCAGATAGGACATGATCCGCACAAGCGCGTTCCATATCCTCCCGGTGGGTGAGCNACCGTAGAACGCCTGTCTGCTTCGTTGTCAGCGTAGCTGGCATCGACAAACACGCTTAGGTCTAGTCCTGACCCCCGTACGTAGGTGATATCGAGGTCCTTCGTGAAGTTCAGATAGGACATGATCCGCACAAGCGCGTTCCATATCCTCCCGGTGGGTGAGCGGGCGATCTTCTGGAGCTTGTTCAGAGGCAGGGCGATGTCTGGCCTCGTCAGCTTCGTCCACATCAGGCATCCGATCGCCTCCCTCACAGGCTTATCCACCGCGGGCTCGTCATCTCTCTTCGGCCCTAGGTCGGCATCGGTGGCAGCAGGGGTGAAAGCGGTCGTGGTCACATCAAACCGCTTCAGCATACTCTCAATGTATGCTGTCTGGGACAGCTTGGTGATGCCATTTTCTACATCCATGGCGATAGCACACCCGTCGTACCAGGTACACTCCCCCAGATCTTTCACCGGAAACTTCTTGTTGAGGGAAGCGAACAACTCCTCTCGCTCTCCCTCGTCTGCCGCCAATAAGATGTCATCAACGTAGATCACGATGAGACCTACGACCTCTCCATCCACCACCTTCCGGAAGACACACGGGTCAACCCTGCAATGCTAGTGTCCATTCTCGATGAGGGCATCGGCAGCTTCAACCCCCCACTCACGGCCAGTCTACTTTAGGCCATACAGGGCACGCTCAACCTTGACCACCTTGCCGGACATGCAACCACAGCCTTCCGGGAACCTGAGGTATATTTCTTCTTTTAGCTTAGCGTGGATGTACGCTTGCTTCACATCCCAGTGAGCGAGTTTCTTGCCCTTTTCAGTGGCTACGGCAATCACCGTCTTGA